CACCTCTAATTCAGTCAATCCGTGTATCGTTCAGTGAACGATGAACGAACGAACTTATAACGAACTATATCTAACTGAACGAAACTTCAAGTTCCCAATTTCCCATTCCCAATTAAACAGAACTACGAGATATACATTACATAAGCCGTGTATCATTCAGTGAACTAGTTCAATTAAGTGAACGAACGAACTAGTTCACTCAACTGAACGAAACTTCCCATCCCTAGTACCAACTGACTAAATCGAAAATTACCTATTCCAATTATATAATTTATATTGATAAAAGTTATACAATGTCCACCGATTTTCAAAGCGGGAAAAATACTAATAGGTTATACTGTTTTCAACAAAAATTTTGATTACATTTACTTTTTATTTATTTTATTTTACTTTGATTACTTTTACTTTTTATTTTATTTATATTTATTTTCTATAAGAAAGGACCAAAATTTAAACTATGATAACATATAATTATGTATAACATTAAATCATGGATATATTTTCGGGTTAAAGCTTTGACTTGTATTATTTTAGTAACCAATGTAATTAGAGAAGGGTAATGCTTTTCTGTTCTCACAATTCTTCTTAATATCCATGTTATAAATCTATGTAATATATCATGTATATTTATAAATATCTAGCTTAATATTTAATTTTATGTAAACCTTTCTTAAAATATATGTTTTTTCGTACATTTTTTTAATTTTCTATGTGCTAATATGTAAACAGTATAAAATATTACGTTTTAGTTTTAAGTGTGTACTGAAAAATAAGTATTTAAAAATGTATTATATAAATATATTATTAAAAATTATTTCATATAGTTGATACCTGTTTATTTTATATGTAACTAATTAACACAATAATTAAAAATTAGCATATAAATAAATAGGTTCTAAAACTTATGAAAAAAAAAAATCCTTAACATTATTTAAATTTAAATAAATTAATTGAAATTAATTTCATCTTTAAATAGGAAATTTCAAATATTAAATTAGGCACTAAAATATTATATGTCTATGCTAAATATACAGGGATTGGTTGGTCATATAATTTGAACCGTAGTATAGTTTAAATTGAATATAATTATTATCGAAAAATATAATAATTATCATTTAAATGCAACAGTATAAATTCTTAAATAAAAAAATAATTTTATAATATAATTTTTAGAAATTTTATGTTGGCAACACATTTTATGGCACCGTTTTTCGATTCCAGTCCTTATCATTTTTCGGACAACTGCCCCCAACTCCGAGTGACTGTGGCTTTGAACACGGTCTCCAGATGGGCGTGGCATACGTTATCTCTTAAATAAATCATATCACAGAACAATATATACTCGTATGATAATAATTATGCAATTATTGTATAGTTAATACATGGTGTAGTGCGATATACTTTTTCTATGGTGTAGAGTAGTTTCTTTTCTACACCGTGAGTTAATACCATAGAGTAATATTATTACTATTACTAACCTAACTATAACTGTCTTTTCGCAGTCAAATAGAGCACCACGTTATCATTTTGTTGTCATCGCCCAAAATGTATTATCAAAAGATAGATTTATTATTAAAAAACGAAATCTATCAATTGAAATGATAGATTCTCCATGTCCACATGTAAATTGATTGGGTTATATTTCGAAGTTTTTAACATCAACGAACTTTTAAACCTAAATATATACTTATTAAAAAACTAACTTCAATTATTTTAAGAATAAAACTTTATAGTCCGTATTATTTTTAAAACCACTTATATAAAATATTTTCAATGTTTGTTCAATTTTGTAGTTTATGAACTAGCGAGGAATTAATATGAATGCGATATTCTATTATTAAGATAGCAAAGGTCACCATAAAAGACTTCGTGATGTTCACTGGCACAAAAATCACGAGTGATGTTTTGTTTTGTTTTTAATATTTTGTTTAGGTTATATGATTTTGGGGCGGTTTTTAACCGCGTAAATTGTACATGTGTATACAAACATGTGTAACGTGTAAGTTTTGTGATAAATCGATTTCAAATTGCGGCGATTTAAAACCGAGCCTTTGTGCGAACAATTTTCTAACACAAACTTGAACTTATAATTTTTAAGTTCTCTGCCCCATTTCCCCTCAATTAAACTGTGGCCGTCACCAAGGCCGTATCTAGAAATTTTTTTCGGGAGGCGTCCAAAACATATATATTGTAGTTTATTAAATTTAGATTTTAACTTTTGATATTTGGTTAAAAAAAAAAAACAGAAAAAGATTTAATCTTCTTTTATTAAAATGAATATCATATTTTCATATGATATTATGATATAAAATTAAAAGCAGTCAATGATTAATTGGAGCTTAAGTCATTTTTGACTGAAAATATTTATGTTGGTATTAAAAACAAATAAGAATTTTAAACATTCGTAAAATATTGAAGACATTTCGGGGATTCCAGACACCCCGGACCCCACAGATACGGCCATGACCATCGCCACACCGGATATACGGGGACGGTGTCAATGATTCGTATGGTTACAACTGTTTTGCGCTTAAGTCGACGCGGCAAAACGCCTACGTATTTGCCGTACGCAACTGAATATAGGTGGTCCTGAATCGCACGTCCTATTTTGGATCGATCAGAGGGATCGGGACTAATTTTCTTAATAATAATAATGAAAAAATGGAAATAATTCAACTATTATATGGATTATTATAATATAATAACAAATTGTAGTTGGGCGCCCTTACACCAGTATAATAACCATTTAATTATACACAAAAATAATAAACTAAAATATTACAATATCAATAAAGTAATCATATAAAGGGAGGCACAGCTCCCAGTACCTCAATATATTTGAGTCCCGCTGGATTCTATCCCACGTGACCGTGGATAACTCGACACTTGCGACGAGAACTCAAATACACGGACGATCCGCAACGGCAGGGGCAAACTGGAATGGGTCCCGGGTACAAATTCTTGGTTAATGGCGAATCACAAAATAAAGGGTGCACTAACTAAATAGAAATAAAAAACTCTGTTCTAAAAACACCACAATCGTACGCTAAATGTGCCAGGCACACGCAGAGGCTCACACCACGGGAGTCACTCGACGACAGAAAAACGCCGATCTCGAGAACATTCTCTACGGCCCCGGTGAACAGATCAATCCGATAAGATATGAGACCGGTTCTGGACCCGCAGAGAGTGTAAGCAGCGAGTCTCGAACATTCTCCCTCCATGGGAGGCCATGCCTCACATTTTAATTAGTAATAATAATAAAGAGAATAACGGGGAGGGTGCTGTACCTAATACAAAATAATAAAAAATATCACAAGAACAGAATAAGTACACTAAGGAGTGATGGGCGATAATAATAATTATAATAACAATAAATAGATAAGAGAATGAAAAAAAGTATACATAGTAAATTATATCGAGCGGTCGCAGATCGTCGCAGTGCTTACTATAGGGTTAACGGAGTTGACGGCTGGACTTCTATGAATGGAGTGAGCTTGACCATTGGACGGGTTATTGGACCGCGATTAGTGTGTAGACGGACCACTCGTACGACTCCATCTGGCCCAGGGAAGATTTATACAACGCGACCAAGGCGCCATTCTAATGGAGGTAGATGCTCACGAATCAATACTAAATCATCAATCTTGATATTGGATTTATTTGTAGACCACTTGTGACGAATTTGCAATGTATGCAAATACTCATTGGACCAGCGACGCCAAAACGACTGGTGGCATTGATCAAGTAACTTCCATCGGTTCACGATAGTATGGCCACTATCGATGTTAACACGTGGCGGCACAGCGAGTAAAGGTTGACCAATTAAAAAATGACCTGGCGAAAGACAGTCCAAGTCATGTGGATCGGTAGATAATGGGCTCAGTGGTCGTGAATTTAAGACGGCCTCTACGCCAGACAAGAGAGTAGTCATTTCCTCGTAAGAGAAGGTATGCGTACCCAATACACGAAGAAGGATCCGTTTCACGAAGCGAACTGCAGCTTCCCACAATCCCCCGAGTGGGGTACTCCAGGCGGATTAAAATTCCAAGTACAAGATGGTGAGTGGGCCATTATATGATGTTGAGACGTCGGGGAGTTAATAAGTTGACGCAATTGCTTTGCCGCACCGACAAAATTGGTTCCGCAGTCCGAATATATATCACTGGGAAGACCTCGTCTCACTACGAACCTGTCAAAAGCTGCGAGAAATGCTTCAGTGTATAGATTGGTAACGAGCTCGAGGTGGACAGCTTTCACGGTGAAACATACGAATATGGCGAAATATACCTTAATTGACCGGAACTTTCGCAATTGTAGTTCTCGCATTTGCAAAGGACCCGCATAGTCTACACCAACATGAACAAATGCGCGGCACTCATTTACACGTGAATGGGGTAAGTCTGACATTATGGGCTGAGGCTTCGGGGCCTCAAAACGTACACAAACTGTGCAACGACTAATGACAGCGCGTATTACTGACCATAGACCAATAATTCAATATCTACGATGAATAAGAGAAGACATAACGCGGGGCCCTGAATGGCAGGTGATTTTATGCCAATGACGACAGATGAGAATGGATAAGTGTGAAGTTTTCGGTAATAAAACCGGATGCCTTTGTTTATAAGGTAAACTAGAATGCCGAATCCGTCCACCAACCCGAATGGTACCAACGGAATCAACGAACGGACATAGGCGAGCTAAATGTTTAGCTGATATACGAATTCCACTTTCTAATTCGTTTCGTAACATTGAGAATGGAAGTCTCTGAGCCTCGATAATAATGCTGAGTTCAGTGGCGTTAATCTCCTCACGCCCTAGAGTGGGTGTGTTATTGGTTTTACGATGCGTGGTATTACTAATGAAGCGCTTCATCTAAGCTACGATGCGATATATGTGCTCGAGACTCGAAAATCGAGTAAACCATTCGGTGGGTATGTCTACTACACATGAGGTGAGAGACAACTTGTTCATTTCCGGGAGATCTGATAACGGAATTAGTAAACGAATGGTGGACCATTCCAATATAGCTCAAGATTGGCTAATTCCAACGGTCTAACCCCACGTGAGGCGCAGTCTGCAGGATTATATTCCGAATCGACATGACGCCATTTACAGTTCGGTAAGATGGAGCTTATCTGGTGTAATCGGTTAGAAACATACTGTTTACAACATTCATGAAGTACAGTTAACCAAGTTAACACAATGGTCGAATCCGTCCATGTGTAAACATCTATAATGTCTAATGTTGATTCTAGGACGTTTTTTATGCGCAGCAACCAGCGCACAAGCAAAAGTGCTGCATTAAGCTCCAGTCGTGGAACTGACAATGGTTTCAATGGCGCCAATTTATTCTTTGTTCCAACCAAGGAAACTGAGTGTTCACCATGATCATTAATGGTACAAAGATAGACAACTGCCGCGTATCCGCGCTGTGATGCATCACCAAAACCTAATAAATAACAAGGAGCTGCGGAACGCGTCCCAAAGTGTCTAGGGACCTTAACAGAAGTAATATGACTCAACTCTGACACGAAATTGGACCAGTCTTGATGAATGTCTTCGGGCAGTGGATCGTCCCATGCTAGCCCTCGTACCCATGTCTGTTGCATTATAGATTTAGCACGAAATATTATAGGACCAAATAAGCCGAGTGGGTCGAAAATTCGAGCCACTAGCGACAACACCCCGCGCTTAGTGTACATACACCAGTGAAAAATCTTAATTTAATGCATCCGAAACAATCTATTTGAGGACGCCACTCCAGGCCTAACACCTTGGTACCTAAGTCCTCGACCGTATTGAAAGGTAATGGTTCAGTCATACGACTGTCCGCCGGAACCGCATACAAAATGGCGGAAGTATTAGAGGACCACTTTTTAAGCTCTAACTGCGCATTGCCCAGTACTGCAATCAGCTTGGCTTGCAAATCCAATGCATCAGTTACAGAGTCAGCGCCCACGCAAATGTCATCAACATAAGTCTGATATGTTAAAGCATGACGAACAATCGACTTGTCAGCATTAATTTACCGATTGTTGAATATACATATTAACTACAGTTGTTTATGGTTGATTAATATTGAATAAAACGTACAAACAAAACGACAAGGAACATTTTTGATATTGATAATAAATATTTTGACGTTATAAAAAAATGATGATAATATAATGCTCTCTAGTAGCGAGTGATCGAACTTGGGCACCGTGATCATGCATTGCATAGGAATTGAAATGGAAAATTAGTGGACCTGCACAAAGAAATTTGTATAACTACTAAATTCCTAACCTACGATTGTATTAACTATGATTATAATCAATGTATTATGTGGGCCGTTCCCGGTGGTACTGCAATACCGGGTCAACCCGCGGTGGAGCAGGAGCAAGCCCCAAAGTCTCCACTAAATTTAAAAAAATTAGTTTAACATTTGAGTCCTTCTATGAAGGACGTATCAGATGTTAAGCTGATAAGAACAGATTTTTATTTATAAAATGTTTATGGTGAGTTGACAGACATGTGGGCTAAAACATTTTTTATGTTGGAAGGACACATAATTGTGGTCTTAGTAAATATAGTACATAAATATAATTTTTGATAAATTTTAAGCAGCTATAGTAATAAATATATAAAAACAGTAAATAATAAATAAATAAATAGGTAAAAATATATATATCATATGAATAAAAATAATTAAAAAGGAATAAATATATAAAACAATAAAAAAAAACAATATGGTAAAATATAGGTAGAGTATAAAATTAGTAATAAAGTGGACAAGAAATATCCGAGTATAGGAATTATAAAATGTATAACCAATGATAAAAGGTATACAATAATAATAATAAAACAGTGGTAAAAAGAAAATAGGAATAAAGTATTGAGTGTAAAGAGATGTTTTGGGAAATGATTTTAATCAGATTGTCGGACTCCCGTTATGTGTTCTATGTAAATGCTTCTTGTGAATTTAATTGTTTCACTTACACATAATTTTTGGAGTAGCTTCCCGTACGAACGGCTGCATAATAGTCTTAAGAAGCTGTCGTTGTCGGGGTCCCAAGCACCTAATGACCCGACAATGAAGGGCACTACGGTTACTTCAGCTAAGTGCTGTGCTGCAATCTCAGAACGCAGTTCTTCATATTTGGTCTTTTTGTCCTCAGCTGCTGCTTGGAATGCGGGCAATCTGTTCTCGAATACTATGGTTGCATCTATGATATATATTTTCGGGCCTTTCCGAAGAACCAAGTCAAGGCGCAACCCGCGGCTGCCTATGACCTGGTTCTCGGAGAGGACCTCGAACTTGCGAACTGCCGCCTTCTTGATTCTTGCAATTACTGCATTGTGCCGCGCCATGTAGAGGGCGGTGTACCGCATGCAGTGGTTGACGACGTGAGCTAGGCTTTCTGTTATGTATCCACATCGTCTGCACCTGCGGTCACCGACCCTCCACGACGAGGCCCCATTTAACGGTACTAGGTTTAGGCGGGCGCGGTGTACAAACCGCCAGTCCGCAAATCGCATGAAGTCTCCGTTCCTTAAAAAGTGGTGAGAGGCGGGATGTGCTCCTACGCACTCCATTGCTCGGCCTTGGTCTGGTTTTTCGATCAGGACGTTACTGCGTTGAATTCTGTTGTCGTCCCGTAATGTTTTCATTACTTCACGCCTCTGTTTTTCCCTAAGCGTGGAGCCGCCATGTTGGATGGAAGGGCACGGGTCCAAGCCCCAGCCGACCTCCAGCCGTTTCGATGCGTTACGAGCTCTCGTCCAAACATTGGAAATGGTAGAGCCACGGGTCTCCCTAAACACGCCCTCGTGGTTTCCAGAAAGGAATTCAGCGACCTCTGTTATGGTTGGTAGGCGGCCGATTCTCTTTATAGTTGTTTCGGTAACGTGTTCGTGCGCTTCAATGGAGACTCGTATGTCTGGCGACGTCATTAGTTTGAACGCTGAGTCAATTGCGGCTATATCAGCGTCTTCGGCGAGTATACGGATCCCGCACCCTCCTCTCCGTGTGGAACCATAAATGTATTCACCGGACGCCTCCTGGGGTAAGTATAATGTGGCTTTAAGTTCGGGCCGTAAAATCTGGTCCACCTTGGCCCAGTCCATTTTTTTAAAAGTTCCGACTCTCATCAGGTGGACGGTGGATGGAAAGAAGAAAGTTTTTAGTGCATCGAGCCTTTGCCACGGGGCCAGTTTGCTCCGAACTATTTTAAGGCCCGTAGTTATTATATCGGCTAGGGTAGCCATAGGCGGTACAATGTTGAAGCCTACTTGTGCTCCCAAGAATGAGGCGGCTTCGCCCTCGGCCAGTGGGCGTAAACGGGATCCGTTTACACGGAACTCGGTATCCCTCACGCCCACTGGTCGGTTACCCGAAATATGGAGCGTTGAACATTTCAAAGGGTTTAGCATGAGGCCCAAGGAGGACAGGTCATCACGAACCGCGTCTATGGAGGATTGAAAATTGGCCGGGCTGTTTTCGATAAGGCATAGGTCGTCCGCGAAGGCGAGCACGCAGTGTTCGGTGGCTTCACCTTGGGCGCCACTGACGACCGGGTCGATGGCCATTATAAACAGGAGTCCGCTGAGTGGACAACCTTGTTTAATTCCGGATCGTAATGGAATGTCCGCTGTCTTTCCTCCGGCCGTGCTCACCGATGATGTAGCACCGGAGTAGATGTCCCGGAACTGTAACCGCAGTACAAAGCGCAGCTGGCAATGACGATGGATTTGGTGAAGGGGTGTCTGGAACGGAAACTGAAGGATGCAGCAACGAATGGTGGTTACGCGAGCACGAACTACAGCGTATCCTCACCTTACATTTATTGGCCCAGTGCTTGTCATTAAAAAATATTAGGCATAATCCTTGTGATCTAATCCATCGATTACGTTCCTCTACTGTCCAAGATTTGAACCGAGAACATGACGCAACTGCATGTGCACCTTGACAACATGGACAAGAGATGGCCGGCTTCATGGATACCAGCGTGACAGGGCGTCGCGATTCGATTCTACGTAGCCCGTCTCCCCCCATTTTACTTTTTGACTCACAATGGCTGTAGGATTAGGTAACGAGCTGCCTCGAAGCTTGCGATTGTCACCCGCTAATTTTAAAATATTGATAAGTGACTGGACGAAATCTACTAACTCGTCGATGGATGGATACTCAGTGTTCACAGTAGATTCAAAAATTTTCCGGGTAGTCACCGGTAAGGAGCGGAAGGCGAGATTAAACAGAATAAATGATCCCATGTTGGGAATATCAAGCGCGTTTAGCAATGCAATGTTTTCGGTGAACGTAGAGACAAAGGCACTGAGGTCGGGCACTGATTCTTGTTGTGATACTGGAACGCATAGTAATTGATCCACCAATGACGTGGCGACTAAACGGGGGCGATGAAAACGAGTATTTAATGTTTTTACTGCTAATTGGTAATTTTCAGCTGTCACAGGTATGCGACGAATAGCGTCCGCGGCGGGCCCATCAAGACAACCAATTAAATAGTACATTTTTTCCACGTCGGAAAGGTTTGTTCTAGAATCAACCAAGGCCTGGAAGCAATCACGAAAAGTAGGCCAATAATGAGGATCACCATCAAAACGGGGAAGCGGAATCTCAGGAAGGCGTGATAACGGTCGTTGAGAGTCGGAGTCGGAGATAATCGAAGCCGTACTCTTCCGTGAGTCAGACTGAACTAATGGTGCCACATTAAATGGACCAGAACCCGATTTGGGTAAACTATCAGCGATTGCGCGACATTCATTAATAAGCGCGCGCACTTCGGATGGCAGATCGGTAAAATACTGATCCTGGTGACTCGTCGCGATAAGATAATCCAATACCGAGTCATCTTCCGCCTTAAATTGCGACAAAAACACATCTAAATTATTCACGTTAGCAAGGAACACAGCAGAGACGGAAGGGTCGCTATCAACACGTACCGCAAGATCATGGACTGCGCGTATATTGTTGACAATGGTAGTGCGTTTAAGCTCAGCGCAAATCTTCAATCGCGATAAACGCTCGACATCGTCGGTCATATTGCCGGAGTGATACATACGTAATTGAGCCTCGACAATTCACTTGCACAGCGAACGTAATTACGCGTACGCACGTATACGATATCTGAATGCCAATTAATAATAATCAATATAGAACAAGTCTCAGGTGATCAGACCCCCGCAAGCACTGCGCAATAACTTGACAATATAAACTATCTATAAAAATCACAATAATCCTAATCGACACACGAAGATACAGGTTGCTTACCACTACGTGGATATACTATATAGTTCAAATAATAATAATGATAACACAATTAATAAAACACAGTTAAGAAATAATGTAATAAATAATATCGCATTACAGCGAGCAGAGAGCAAGAATTAATCGCGAACAATGGTCAAACCGGTCTGGCGAATGTTGTGAGATGTCTCTTACACCGTCCAATTTGAAGATAATCGAAGGGTTATTAAAATAGCACACAAATTACGTACGACACTATTTAATATAAATCAAAAAAAAAAAAGAAAAAACCTTGGTGTCACTCGGTAGACAACAAAGAAAAGAAAACCAATGAATAAAATGCCCTATTAAAAGCACTCCGATCGAACCAAAAATGACGGAAACCACGCTCTGCTACCAAATGTTTTGCGCTTAAGCCGACGCGGCAAAACGCCTACGTATTTGCCGTACGCAACTGAATATAGGTGGTCCTGAATCGCACGTCCTATTTTGGATCGATCAGAGGGATCGGGACTAATTTTCTTAATAATAATAATAATGAAAAAATGGAAATAATTCAACTATTATATGGATTATTATAATATAATAACAAATTGTAGTTGGGCGCCCTTACACCAGTATAATAACCATTTAATTATACACAAAAATAATAAACTAAAATATTACAATATCAATAAAGTAATCATATAAAGGGAGGCACAGCTCTCAGTACCTCAATATATTTGAGTCCCGCTGGATTCTATCACACGTGACCGTGGATAACTCGACACTTGCGACGGGAACTCAAATACACGGACGATCCGCAACGGCAGGGGCAAACTGGAATGGGTCCCGGGTACAAATTCTTGGTTAATGGCGAATCACAAAATAAAGGGTGCACTAACTAAATAGAAATAAAAAACTCTGTTCTAAAAACACCACAATCGTACGCTAAATGTGCCAGGCACACGCAGAGGCTCACACCACGGGAGTCACTCGACGACAGAAAAAACGCCGATCTCGAGAACATTCTCTACGGCCCCGGTGAACAGATCAATCCGATAAGATATGAGACCGGTTCTGGACCCGCAGAGAGTGTAAGCAGCGAGTCTCGAACAACAACAATATTATTATAAGCAATGTAAGCTAGATATATTAAATATTAAGTGAAACTAAAATTTCGTTTTTCTTGAATATTGTTACAGTTTTTCACCGTAACAAATAGGATACACGTTGCCAACATCTTATCAGATTATGAATACGGTTCTACTTTTAGACAGGGCCGGCACTACCTTTTGTGAAGCCCTGAGCAAAACTTATTTTACCAATAACCATAGTCACCTATAGACTGTAATTAAATACGATGATATGTAATCAGACTCGGCGACAGCTACACGCCATATCGGGTAGTAACTAAATTTATTTATTTATTTTTTAAATTTAGTTATTACCCAATATCTGAAGATAAACTTTCTAGGTATCCCGGTTGTTGTACCGTGCGGCGTGCCGTACGAATTGTCGATGCATTAATGACATATTAAATATAATATAATATTGTTTTTTATATACCAACGGATTTCTCGAGAAATCGCATTCGCCAAGTGTATCAAATTGATACTGTTTTGACCCCTGTTTTTAATAATTTTGAATTAACTCATCTCTTCTTTGATTTTTATAGAGCCGATTACGAAAAAATTGAACCATTTCTATTGTCTTACAATTGGTATAATATTATTAATTCCTTAAATGTGAACGAAGCTACTAATGCTTTATATGATGCTCTCCACTTTTGTATTATTAATTTTGTCGAATTCAAGAAGTTTAAGTTTCCCCCATGGTTCTTAAATGACCTTAAAAGCTTGACCCTTCAAAAAAGAAAAGCCCATGGTGCTTACAGAGATTCTACTTGACTACACCATTTATTTACTTCAGGCGCGGTATAAGTTTCTTTCGAAGAAATGTTATGATAACTACATTAAACAAGTCGAAACGTCTTTTTGTACCAATCCCAAATCTTTTTGGGATTTCTTGCGGAAAAATAGAACATTTTCCAATCTGCCTACTACAACTTTAATTTTTAATGGTTACGTTTTTGAAGCCTTCAGCAAGCATTCACAGTTTGATTTTATTTTTTTGGACATCACCAAGGCCTTTGATCGCGTGAATCACCGTGCATTATTGAGCATTCTGTTAAATCTTGAGTTTGGTGAATTCCTATTATCGTGGTTCAGCTCCTATTTGTCTGAGAGGAAACAGCTTGTCAAAATCAATGGTTTCTGTTTTAGCCCATTTAGTGTAACCCCAAGATGGGCATCTATAACCCGTTGTTTTTGCATTTTTTGTTAATGGTATCAAAGATGTGATACAGCACAGTTAACTTCTTTTGTTTGCTGATGATATTAAGATTTTTCTTCGTATTAGCACTATTGATGATTGTAAACTCTTACAATATGATCTTAATACTGTCGCTCATTGGGCCCGAGGACTAGGCTTGGAGCCTAGTATCCTTAAATGTTATACAATAACTTACACTCGTTCCTACGAGCACATCGTGTTTACATACACTATTAACGATATTGCGCTAAAGCAATCAGGTGACTGTGTTATGGACCTTAATATTACTTTTGATAGATCGCTTACTTTTCAGATTCACATTGAGAAAGTTACTTGTAAGGCTTTGAAGTTCCTGGGTTTTGTTAAAAGAATTTTGACTGAATTCAAACTGTCCAATTAACTTAAGACTTTATATTGCTCTTTCGTTCGGTCTGTGTTAGAGTATGGAGTAATTATTTGGGATCCGTACATACTTGATGGTAGCAGTCAACTTGATAGAGTTCAGCATAAATTTTTGAAATTTACCGCTTTTGCACAAGTGATTGAGTGCGCTCCTCATGAGCATCAACCTGTGTTGCAGTGTCTCCATTTGTTAAGCCTATGCGACAGGAGGAAACAGGCTAATCTTACGTTTCTTTCTAAACTTATATGTGGCTAAGTAGATTCCCCTGCTCTCCATACACTCAATTTTAGAGTTCCAAGTTTCTATTCCAGATATTCCTTCCCATTCCAAATTCCTTTTAGCCTCTGTAATGATCTAATAAATCGTCCTATTGTCCGTATGATGAAACTAACCAATGAAGACCCACTATTTCTTTTATATTTATATTTAGCATTAAATAACTGTCTGGTTTTTTTTATCTTAATTGGACACATCCCGTATATAATAATAAATAAATAAATAAATGTTGGTTAATTTATATTTAAAGTTGGATGATGATCGATAAAGTGTTGAAAATTTGGAGAAATTGCAGTATTTAAATTAGTTTTATAATTCAGATTGTTAGACTTACGATTATTATTCGAATTGTTCATTTGGGTTAAGCAAAATTTTTTGTAGCGGTCAGAATGTCATATTTTACCCTTATTAAAAATGTTCTGAACTTTTTTGTACAATGCAATTATTATTTGAATAAATTATTTGATTTCTTAAGTTTATATTGGTTAAAATAAAAAAAATGAATGAACTTAAATATTCTGAATTGTTAAATTTGATTAGCGAGCTTAAATTAGAAAGTACATTTTTCCTTTAATATAAATAATCAAATACAAGTTCATATATGGTAAATGGCAGTTAAAAATTTCAAAACTTACAAATAATAAATTTCCTCTAAATAATATTTACAGTTTTTTTTTTATATACATAGTATTCCTGCAAAATCAACCGTGAGAAAGTATTTTCTATGATGAACTATAGAGATGAAAATAAGTATAGGCTTGAACTTCTTATACTTAAATATGAATTATTTATCACCCTTAATGCTAATGAAACATACACTGAAGTATATGACACATATGTTTAAGAGATGAAAAGTTACTAAAAGATGCTAAAAATAATAAAATGTATATATTTAAAAATATTATATAATTTGTTTATAAAAATAATGTAATTCCTAATATTTTTAAAAAATGATATTAAAAATTTTACCAGTTGAATTTTTTTTTTTTTGTATTCTATACTTTACTGGTATTGATAACCTAACCAAACAAGTATGGTATACTAAATTCATAATTTGTTTTTTGAGTCAGAAAATGCTCCAAGAATCAAGATACTTTATTATGAAAACAGACAGTTGATAACCCTGAATATATATCATGTTATTTTAAGCACAATAAGTAGATTTATTATGTTAATATGCTGATGTCATTACCATTATCTTATGCTATATGTCACGGATGATCTTAAATGTGTTCTGGCATTCCTTGGGTACTATAATGTGGTAAAACCCAGGACATTTTAAGTTGACCTAGATATTATTCTGCTTATTAATATTATATATAATATAATATAATATAATATCTTATCGAAAGATTTGGCTTCCCAAGGAAATTAATAAAACTACTTAAAATTACACAAAAATACATGAAGAGCAAAACCAAATATATTACTAATTTACACATAACTCTTTTTATATAAATTTAAAAGATACCACTTTTAGTAATTAAATATATATATATATATATATATTAATAATAGACAAAGCTTAGTATGTTATGCATATGTATATTTCTTTACACAATTTAATTTCTTTGATACACCACTAGCGAATACGAATACCAATTATTCGCATTGAATCGGCCTATATTGCGGTTAAACATGTCAAATTCAAACATGGCGAAAATTTACAACCATCAAATTTTTTCATATAAGTATTCAGGTATCTTCCGAGCAAATAATAATATTAAGTTACCGTGATACAATAACCAGTAAAAAAAAAAACTACTTAGTCCCAATTGGTTTTAAGTAATTAAGAAATAAATTGCAATTTATAGAATAATAGATATATTTCATTAAGAAAATTACTTAACTGTGAAAATGACCAATTCAAAAACAGTTTTATTTCATTTTACTAAAATATAAATAAATGCAGTTATAAAAAAAAATTGAACTTTAAATCAAACATAATAATTATTGATCATCAACTAAGATATTTTTTAACTTTTTGATATGGATAAAAAATAATATCTAAAAAAAAAAATATTAATATATTTTACAAAACAAATATTATTGTTATAGAAACATCAAAATGACAATTCATGTATTTTCTATTATTCCTTAAATAAAAATGTAGAAGTATAATAATAGTAAATACAATTTTTGAACTATCTTAACATCTCAAATAATTAATTTACATTTACTTATAATAAGATCCTTTTAAAAATAAGTCAAATAATTATGTGAATATTAAGGAAAAATGAACACATTATGAATGAAATCACAAAAACTTAATATAATTTCTTTTTTTATTTAATGGTCATAGTAGTTAAAAAAAAATTACTTAAAAATAATAATTACACTGCAACAAATATTCTAGAATACTACTAAACCTGTTAAAGCCTTCAATGCAAATAAAACTCATATTAAAATGATGAATATATAGAGTGTGCTACACTAAATGGCCCAACACGACTGTAAACATCCTTAGCTCTTACTGCAAAATGGTATCTTTCACCAGCAACAAACTAAAACAATTTTAATTCAAATTAAGTTATTTTCAAAATTAGTAATAATTACATTTACTTTCGTTAATGAGCAAGCCATTGGTAAAGGAAGAGCATTGACGTTTCCAATTTCTTTCCAAAGATCACTTCTAGGAATATCTGTAGGTGATTCTTTATAAGCAAATATTTGATAACCAGAAATTTCAGCATGTGTGTTGTTAAGACTCATATTCCAAGAAAGCACTAATGCTATAATAATATTAATATGTTTACAATTCAATATATTTATAAAAAATAGTATACAAAATTTAACATCAATAATATAAAAAAACCTTTTGAATCTGGAGATTTAGCAAGGGTCATTCTTGGTGCAGGTGGAATTTTTTTTGATGTAGGAACATTTCTTTGTAATGGAGGATTAGGCAATGGAGCAGGATGCTGTAATATTAAATTAATTCATTACCATACATAAAATAAATAAATTAACATTTAGCATCAAATAAATTAACTGAAATCATACTTTTTCTATAGGAATAGCAGGAGGTACAGGTTGTAATGTTCCATTAGATTTAGATGCAGATACCGGACGTGTAGTGAAAGCAACACCAGGCTTAACAGACTTTATAACAGGGTTTAAAGAATGACGTTGAACTTGTACTGACTTCAAAGTCGATCCAACCTGTACAGGCTTTAATGTCTGCCCAACATTTACGGGTTGTTGTACTAAATTGGAAGCCACAACTGAAATTATTAATATTTGTAATTACAATAATAATATATACTATACTCCATTCCACATAAGAGCAATGGTCTATCATGAAATATGGGACTATAAATTTGGTTTACTAGTACACTCGGCAAATAAGCAAGTGCTTAATGAGCTTTGTCATCCAATGAAAATTTAGTAAAATTAGACAAATATCCCTTTCATCACTAACCTTCATTTTTGTGAAATAAATAATTTTGTTATTACATACTGAATATTATTTTAATTTTATATCCATTGTCTACCAATCTATACATTTGTGTAGGACCTACACTGTAGGTACATTAATACCCTCTTTAAACCCTAGATTGTTTTTCTCCAAATGTTCTCATTTTCAATATAGACTCATTATGTATCCAAATGCATAGGATAAATAATTTAAAAAAAAAAAAAAAACTAAAAATTAAGCTAAAAAATAACTCACACATTTGTGTACTGTAAACTGTGTACTGGAAGTTCTGTAATACCAGTATAGTACAAAAAAAAAAAAAAAAATTAATAATAAATTCTAGCATCATAAGCATACATATTCATGAATAAAGTTGCTTTGTCAAAATACGAATCTGAAGGATTCTTTTTATATAACTATATACTAATTCCATTACTATAAAAGCATGTGGGCCATATTGCTGATCTGGTAATTGAATACCATTAAAAGACTCTGGGACTTAACCAGTAGTTATAACAAGTAGAGTTTGTTGTTGTTTATTTAATAGTGTAGTAGTGCCTACTCCGTACCGGAAGTAACAATATTTTCTGAATTGACTACTAAATTGGGTGGTATTTCCGTAATAAAATATATTTTAATAGTTTAAAACAATTATAACACTAAACAAAAAAAGAACAATTAAAAAATATTGGAAAGACAGACAACAGTAGTAGTAGTACAGTAGTACACACACAATCAATGTTGTGAATGAACTAAAATAAATATTATAAAACTATTGCAATAGATAATTAATAATATTATCACAAAATATATTTTATATATTCTATGATATTATTTGATATCTATAATCGTGTATAAGACCAACATACACATATATGTAGGTCAAAAATATTTGTAGCTATTGATAATAAAATAGAATATAAATATATGATGATCACAGTTTTCAATACTTTGATTATTCTAAAATAGAAACATATTAAAAAAAAAAAATTTCAATAAAAAATTAATGGCTGGACCTATCGACAAACATGTAATTCCAAAGAAACTCAATATAAGTTATTAAAATATTGTCTATTTATTTTTGGTATTTTTTTGTTTTTTTTTCCTAAATATAGCTGATATATAAAGCTCAATTCACACTAACGGTCTCGGTTCGTTCCGGTCACGGTCAAGGATTATGATGTACAGTTCTCACTACCGGTCACAATCAGTCAAGTTCTATCTGCACGTTGCCACAAAGTATACAAAAGTGTTCAAAAAACAATCAAAACAATGGATATGACTGAGATAAGCGCGGCGGTTGACTATTCACACTAGGCGGTCTCGATTAAAAAGCTCGTGACCGCGGCGGTCTGGATCGTGAATTGACCAGTCGAGACTAGACTGTGACCGGATCGAACCGAGACCGCTAGTGTGAATCGAGCTTAAATATGATAATAGATATTACCTACCAAATTGTGTTGTAATTTGTTTTGAAATCACTATTTTACTTAGTCTTAATTATTGAGATTTTCAAAACTAAGCCACACATTTGTGTAGGTTTTCAATCAATGCAAAAATAGAAATTACTATTATAGACCGTCCAGTGAGAGAACGCAACTACTTCGCGCATGTGAAATTCCCCACCACGCGGCGACAGGTGTTAACGCTATCGATAGTGGTCGTTAAACGAGACGTTCATGCTGGTAAAATGGTGGGAATGCGCAAAAATTGATGTGTTTTGGTCGCCACCCAGTTGCGTTCTCTTACTGGACTCGGTGTAGTATTTAAAGAAATAACAATTTGTATACACAAATGTATGGCTTAATAGGAAATAACAATAAAATTAAATTCTGCTCTAGTGCTGAAAGGGATATAGATGATGACCAGTATTAGTTTTGCTCTTAAATGTAATAAGAGTATATTTATATGATATTAGTGCTGTACTCATGTTGTACAGGTACATATTTTTCACCCTTATAAAAAATAGATCTTTTATGAGGATCCCTATTCATAGAGCTTAGGCTTGTAGCATTTGCTATTTGAGTATTTCCCTACAATTAAAATTAAATATAATTAGTTGAAAACAATTTATTTTATTTACTTGGTGATGATGTTCTTACTATATAACTTGAATTTGATAAGTTGGGTATTTCTATGTATGTTATATTTTTTGGCAAAATGTGTGGCGGCTTTGCTGTCTAAAATAATACAATTTAAATGGTATTTTTATTTTATTTTTTTGCAAATAATATACATATAAATAATGGTGATTGAATAATTACCAGTTGTGCTGGTAAAGTCCCTGGTGATACTCCTGGATTCAAAGTAGTTTGTCGTACAATTTTGATAGGTGATTTATCCAAACTTACGCCATTTGAAACTTCAATATCATCATCCTCAGTAAGATCAATAGTAACAGTATTGTCTTCATTAATAGGTACAGCAGGAGGAACTGATTTAATTGGTAGTTCGTTTGTAATACGTGGCTTTTGCTAAAATTAATATACAAAATAAAAAACTAAGCATCAAAGTAAACCAAAATATGAATAACTAGAACTAAAAATAGTTACATAATTTGAAGTCATTTAGAATAAAAATAAATGTATAGAAGTTAGTAAATTAATAAATATTATTGATAATTACTAAGACTCAGATTATAAGTTAGTAAGTGCTAAAATATATATTTTACTATAACCTAAAAGAACCTTAATATAGGCACAATAAAATGTTTTTTTAACACTACAAAATTTATAAAAATAAAAGGATTTAACTATTTTAATCAAATTTTTTTTATAATTATAATCTAAGTTATGAAAATTAATGAAAACACAAAATAAATAAAATGCAATGCATATAAGCTAATAATATATCTAAAATTAAAGAAATAGTACTATAAAACTAAAATTTAATAAATATGCAAAAATAAGTAATATAAAATTTAAGATTTGAAATCCTTGTTACATTTAACAAATGTAAAGCTTACTCTACTATTTAAATTAGTATTCAATAATAATAAGCAAAATAAATAATACCTAGACATATTTACCTCCAATATTACATACTACATAAGCTTTTTATAGGTATTAAAATTATACCTAATATTTTATAGTTGGATTTTATAAATTTGAAAAATTGTTTGTTAAAATAAATATCACAGTTTAGCTTCATATATAATTTTGAACCTTATACATAAATATGTATTTCCTGAGATATATAATTAAAATATTTAAAAAATTAAATAAATTTTTTTTTAAATATGTCATACAATTTAAATTATTACCTATGTGATAATACCTATGAAGATATTAAAATCTTTCAAAATTACCTTAAACTTAAAAATATACTAAAACAAAGTTACATTTAAAATTATATGAAACAAATAATAACCAAAAATCATTGTTAACAGTTAAAAAATAATATTAAATAATTATGACACCAAAACCCTGATATGTAAAAAATAAAATACAGTGACAAGAGTGATAACATCTTTCACTCCATATTTACTTATGATTGGGTTCCACCAGACCAAAAATGACAGCACTAATATTCTCATTACTATTGAAATCAGTAGGTTGATTGCCGAAAATTTGAACTTTATGACTGAACAATATATTACAGAATCAACAGTGAAAACAATAATACTGAAATAACTTATATTGTTATTGTTTATACAAAAAAAAAAAAATACAAAACCAAGTATATGAATTTTTATAGAACTATAATACTATTTTTTTTTATTTTTTTTTTAACGTTACAGGCCATTTATCAGGCCCTTTGCTGTCAATACTAAATCCTTCCATTCTTCACTATTATATGCATGGTCCATGTCTTCGTTCAAATCTGGTCTCAGCTCCTTCATATCACTTTTGACTGTATCTAACCAACGTTGCTTTGGTCTACCACGCGGTCTTTTTCTGTTTAAATTATTTACAAGTACTGTCTTGAAAATACTGTTATCGGCTCTCTAAACGTGGCCAGCCCACTCCAATCTTGTACCTTTTACAAATTGTGTTATACTTTCTTTCCCATATAGCTGCTTTATCTGTTAATTTGACCTTCTCTCCCACACTTGGGTGTCAGAGTTATACATGGGACCATACATTTTTATTAAGACCTTTCTTTCAAATATACTTAGTTTATTTTCATCTCCTGCTGTTGTGGCCCAGGTACAACAGGTGTATGTCACAGCTGGTCTAAGATACATGGTAAGGTTTCTTTGGCTTTCTTAGACAATAATTTTGACTTTAGCAGATGTGACAGAGCAAAGTAACACCCATTACCGGTTTTTAAACGAAGTTTGATTTCATTATGCATGCCATTTCTATTATTTATATTGACTCCGAGATATTTAAAGTCATGAACTTGTTGAAAGGACATCCCGTTGACTTGTAAATCTAATTTGTCTTCAGCACTGCGTACTTTCCTAGTCATATACACATATTTGGTTTTCTCCTGATTTATCAACAACCCCATATGCTTGCATTCTTTCATTAGGTTTTTCATACTGTTTACAATATCCTGCTTTATGTTACCCAATATTATTATGTCATCCCCGTATGCCAGGAGGGTGTGATTTCCATTTACTTCCATTGGTTGTCGTTGTGAGGTTCTTCGTATCACGCTTTCCAACGCCAAATTAAACAACACAGGCGATAACACGTCACCCTGTCTTAATCCTTTCACAACTTTAAATGATTCTGATAATTCTCCTTGTACCCGTACAACACAGTTTGTATTATTATTGCATAATTTTATTAATTTTACTATTTTCGTTGGGATACCCAATTTTGTCAGATTATTCCATAATTTGTTTCGGATTATATTATCATATGCTTGTTTAAAATCCACGAACACTAAATGAATGTCCTTATTATATTCATAATGTTTACTAAGGATTTGTCGTAGTGTAAATATGTAGTTTATCGTTGACTTCACTTTTCTAAAGCCATACTAGTATTCACCAATCACTCGCTCTGATATATCTTGTATTCTTTTTAGGAGAAACGTCGCTAGAACCTTGTATCCCACATCTAGGAGAGATATACCCCTATAATTTTCTACACATTTAGGGTCACCTTTTTTTAATATTGGACAGATAATTGATGTTCTCCATTCGATAGGAATTTCTTCTGTGTGTCATATCTTAGATATAAGATTGTATAACTCGTCCGTTAGCCTAGGGCTTCCTAGCTTAAGTAGTTCTCCGCAGATTCAGTCTTCTTCTGCTGCTTTATTATTCTTAAGTGACTTAATAACCATTTCTATTTCTACTCTGCTTGGTTCCAGTTCTTCGTTTTTTAGGCTTTCGTTTATGTCTTCCTCTTCTTCATAATCATCTGTTTGACTTACCGTGGGTTCACTATTCAGTAGTTTAACTATAATACTATATGAATGTCAATTATCATGATCTAAATAAAACATTTTCTAGCACATAAAATTACTTATTTTATGAAAAATAAATAGAATGAAAAGTTAAAATGTTTAGTTTTTTCAACATTTTAATTTTAATGGGTCTCTATATAAAAAATTACTTTTCTATTTGAAATTTAACTATTTAAGTCAATCTTAACTTTCCGGCATCATGGTTACCATTCATCACTTAGTGGCACTAACCACGACAATTAATTCATGCATCACCTAATAGCATGTAAAATATAAATATTTAATACTATTTTGATTTTCTACCAATTTAACTCAGAAATGTACAATGACAAAAAAAAATATATTTCAATAGGAAATACAGCAGATTCAAATTCAATTGTAGATTTGTTGAGTAACAAATCCTACATTTAAAATTAATATTTACTTTTATAGGAGTTGTATTAGTTGCACATTCAACATTTTTTGAGCATGATGGTTTAGGATTTTTTATTTTATCTAATACAATGACATCATTTTCATCATCACTAGTAATATCGATAGCTTCACTGGGTTCCTCATGTTGCTGTACAGAAGTAGAAGCAATATTTACTTTTGATGACTGAACACTACTATCCTAAAATTATAATATATTTCTATAAATAATTTATAAAACTACAATTTGTTAATAATCAATTTACCTTTTTTTGGAGTTAATACTGCTTGTAAACCTACAGTCCTTGTAATTACATGTGGTTTAGCATTTGGATTGTTACGCAAATCATTCATATGCATGCTGACAATAGTTTTGAGTTCTTTACATTGTCTATTTAACGTTGAGAACTTTGTCCTCCAAATTTTCTCTCTTTCCAAAATCATCTGAAGTTCTTTTCGGTGCCTACCATTACCTAATTTTTCAGTCATAACTTCAAGCATCTTTTGAGTACATATACTTTCAAATTGCTAAGACAAAAATTATAATTTATTAAAGTTATTATTAAATAATATAAGTAGTTAAAAAAATTGGCAACTGCTAACCATACTCCATTTTATTTTAGTCAATACATTTTAAGTAATAAAGAATATCATAAGCTAATATGTAATCTATTAAAATTTTAATATTATAATAAAAGTGCATTGAATGTTATGAATAATATTAGAATAACTATATTTATCATTTAGGGTCAAATTTAAAACTAAAATTTAAATAAATGAATACTCAACATCAAAAATTAGAAATACATTGAAACTATTGTACATAAATGTAGCAAGAGCAAGTTGACAGCTACCTGTATCAGTGACGTATAATATAAAAAAAAAATGTCTTACAGTAAAAGTCATATTTTTATCATTAAAACATTTCAATAAATAAGGAAAATCATTATCAGCCATTTCGCTAATTCCATTCAAAACATTTTGGACATCTTTTTCATCAAGTATTAATTCAACATTTTGATTAGTTGATTCAGAATTGCTATCTGATTCAACATCTTCAATATCTTTTGCCCCTGCCATTAAGTTTTCATTCTGATTATTAGTTCTTGAATATGAATGAAAAATTTCAGGTAAATTACCTTGAATACCTGAAAAAATATATAATTTAAGGAGGGTATTAGATATGGAAATGCTCCATCCTAATTCATCAGTATTTGATTGATTTAAATTACTTTCTGTTTTTGATGTTTCATTGACATTTGATTCTATTTTATCTCTAAACTGAGAAATGTTATCAGCATCTTCAAGATCAGAATTCTCTACTATTACTAACTTGTCGGAACATGAACTATTCAGTAAAGAGCTATTATCATTGACATCATCATCATTTTCACTATCATATACTGATCCAGCACTAATTATTTCTACTCCACATGTAGATGTATTAATAAATATATTACTTGATTGATTTTTATCATCAACTTTTTTACAAATAGATGTTTTATAGGGAGAATATACATTATGATTGTCAGAACTAATGTCATTAGTATTGTTATGATTCTGATTATCTGGGATATCTTTAACGCTGTTATTTTTAGGAATTTCATTAGAAACAGAAGAATCATATATTTTATTTAAATGAGATGATTCTTTGATTGTATTTATGTTTTTAGGTTTTTTATTTAAAACTTTAATATCATTCTCTTTCGGGTTATTTCTATGAATTAAGGTGGAAACTTCAATTTTTTCATTACTATTACTATTATCAACAGTTAATTTAGATTTTTTAATCTTATCACTGACTAATATATCATCTGATAAAGTTCGTTTTAGACCAATTGTTAACTCATTAATGGGAGAAAAAGATATAGAAGTTGATTCATTGAGAACATTTAGAGGTTTACCTGAAAAATTCATAATAAAAATGTATTAGAGAAATATTTAGTAAAATATATTAAAATATATCTAGTCAAGCTATGTAAATTAATTAAGTTAAATTAATAACAATAATCATAATAAGATAATTAATAAAAGACAATCATAACAATAAGACAGAAAATATTTGAATCTTTGAAATCAGTATCAAATATACAAGTGAAAATAAATAATGAATTATTAAACATAAATTATTTTTTTTTGACTAATTTAAATTATTAAATAATAAATATAAAATGACCTAATGACCTAACTCTATTAAGTATAAATTAATTATAAATACTTTATAGTTATATTATGTTAAAGATATAAAGCAATAAACATAGTTGTGATAATATCCTACAAAATAAATATAAAAGCACATGCAATTGAATCATTATGTTAATTTTTAAATCTTCAGAACATATTGAACATTAGAGATTTTTTTCAATTGATCCATCACAAAAGAATATAAAACTACTTGAAAAATAACAACTAAGTCAATTTAAGAAAATTATTCATTTGTCAAGCAGGAAAATTTTACCAATGAGCCATATAACATTTCTTTCTAAAACAAATTTCATAAATTTCCATTTAAGTAACATAAATATTCAGTTGGTGAAATAAATTGTTTTTGCTAAACCTATAATTATAATTTAGTATGTTTTATAATAGTGGTTCTTAACCTTTTGTAGATCACGGACCCTGATGAAAATTTTTTAGAAATTGCAGACCTCCTTACCAATTTTTTTTTTCGAATGCATTTTTTCTTTCTACAAAAATTTTCATGTTATTAAAACCAAAATTATAATAATGATTTTATATAATAAATTATATTAGTAGACATAACAAAACATACATATTTATAATTATTTTTATTACACTTAATTTTTCAGTTAATTTAAATTTAATTTTTTTTTTTTTTTTTTTTTTAGTATTCTTAAAATTTAATTTTTTTAATTTTTATTAACTTAATGTGATGATTGATGTTATACTTAAGATACAAGTTTTTGAACATTGTATGAAGATAAGATCTATCTATTGTATAATAAAAAATATATGAAAAATAAATTAATGATAATAATAATCCAACAATATTATAATAATGCACTCATGTCACATATTAACGTATTTTAAGTGTTAGGGCTCTCGTGGACCCTCGAAATGAATATCGCGGACCACAGGTTAAGAACTGCTGTTTTATAACATAATCATACATCTGTTAGTTTGTTAACTAAGATTTTTTTTAGATTTTTATAGATAACTTTTCCTAGATACCTATTATAAAGGTTTGTTATAAATTATAATATGAAATAATATTAATAGCATATTTAGAACAAATAAGAAATATACCCCCAATGTTAACTTTTATAATATCACCTAATGGCAGCATAGTATTTGTAAGCAATTTAATAAAATTTAATTAAAAACTAAAAATAAGTTTCTATGATATTTTAATTTTTATCTAACCGGAAATACCATGAATTTGTTAATTGAAACTAAAACTAATTGAAAGTTAAATATATAATTAAGATAATATTATTATTATTGTTGTTGTATTTAACTAAGTTTTATTTGTATAAGAATAAAAAAACTTAAAAACATTTTCTTAAAAAATTTAAGTAGCATAAGTTCATAACAAGAAAATATTTTAATCCCTCAACTGTTGACATAGATACGACACTTCATTTAATATTGATATTCAAAAAATTTTAAGTACTTATTCATATTTTGAAGTCTATTTTTGAAAGTTTGCACTAATCAATTTGTATCAGTAAATGTAAAATAATAGGTATACTAAATAACTAAAATCATTTAAATATTATTCTAAAAAATGTACCAATATGTAATGATATGAAAAACTACCATTTAAAAAAATAAAAAAAAACAGTTTGCAAATAATTTTTGAAGATTCTTAGTGTAATCATTTTAAATAACTGAAGAAAATAATTAATGCAAAACATACAATTAATAATAAAAAAAAAAAAAAAACGACGTTTTTATTTCAAGATTATTATTCACTTAATATAGGTCTAATTAATATTCTATCTAACTAATAAAAATCCATATTTATACGGGAATTTTTTTACCACTTAAAATAAATCAACATGAGGTAGCTCAGAAAAAATGTAAAAAGTTCTACCTAATTATAATTTAAGTAAAATATGGGTCAACTGTATTTTATTATTTTTTAATAATACTACAAACATATTTGATTGTATCTGAGGTTAATAATTAAATGAGGCAAACGTAAAATTAGATTAATTTATGATTGACACTTGACAATTGGATTAAACATAAATATTAGGTATGAAATTAGGCAAAAATCAAATTTAGGTCTGAACATAAATAAAATCATAAATGTATAAAAATATTTTTACTAACCTAACTCAACAACTCTAGAAGCCTCTAAGCTCTATATAAAAATATATTAAAATCATTAGTACCTCTTAATAATTCAAATGAATATTTAATCTTTATTTAAACTTATTTAAATGATAAAATTCCACCATTTTATGGTTTACAAACAAAATATTGTTTTCTAAAATACTATTTTCTGTAGATACCTCGTGCTAAACAAAATTAATATAATTGTACTATATATGATAGCATAGTAGAGCAGTTTTTTTCATGATATTAACCTATTATTTTAATCAGTGCATTAAAATTAATAAAAAGAAAGTGCTATTAATTTCCATAAATTTTAAACAACCACACAAGGAAAATTTGATAAATTGTCTAAAAAAGTTATTAAATTATATAAAATTTCAAAAATTTAACCATAGTTTCAGAACCCAAACTAATAAAAATAAAACTATTAGGTAAAACTGAATTTCAGTATATACATGCAATAATAAGATGTTGAACAAGAAATACATGGCCAAATGTAGTAATAATCATGTACACATAGTTCAAAATCAATGAAACTGAAAATCCAATTACTAATAATCATTTACTTATGATAGATAAAATAAGATTATCAACCAGTTAGATGCCTTATGAGTTCTCGATGGAAATGAAATAGGACAGAAGAGGCACAACAAATTGTCAATAAAACCTCAAAAGCTAAGTATTCGTATGCAAACATATACCAGTGTCTGGAATACACCAGAAAGATGGTTGAAAAAAAACAATGATACAGTATTGACTTACTGTTGGCTGTAGAAGTTTCAGCAACAGCTTCAGGCTTCTGTTGATTTTGTGCGTCATCATTTTTGTCATTGGCTGCGGAAATTTCATTGATCAACAAGGCAGCAGCCGAGTTGGAGTAATCCAATTTTGAAGACGCTGTGGAGTGAGTAACATTCGGAGACCTAGGGACTGTAACAGCATCCCGAGAAACGGCGGTAGTTGTAATTGTATTAGCGACAGTAGTGATAGTTGCACTAGCGGTGGTAGCAGTAGCGGTGACAGCCATAGTTATGATGGTGGCGACGGCAGCATAGGCGACTGGCGCATCAGTTAAGATAAGTTTAGATGATCGCCGGAAAACGATTTGTGAACCAACGAACACCGTCGTCCGAAACACGGCACGGTACGATGCGACGACAAACCGTCGTTGCCGCCCGTTACTACGGCGTGTTATACTTCGATTTCGATGTTCTAGCGGACCGCACAAATCGTCGGCCGTTCACTGGACAACGTAGCGCACACCAATGGGTTATACTTTTGTGTAAATCAGTTTCCGAACGTTAATGAAAACACGTGAAATAAAAAAAAAAAAACGAACGAAGATTTGTGTAGAACGGAGGGTTCGTTACAGAGCGGCAGACGAAGATCCAATGAGAGCGTTTATCAGCGATAGATGCCAGTGTTGCATGCGACGTTGCCGTGCTCGTGCGCCGCCGTTCGATCGGACTTTGTGCACACATCGGTGCGCCGCTCCTGGGCGCGTACGTCCGTCGAATACACGTTGGCAAACGTGAGCACGCACAACGTTGCCGGCGTCCCGACCAATCCGAACGATTTACGTGTAACCAGTTGCTGACGTATCAATCGGTAATTCGGCCAGCCGTTACAAAAGCTAAGACGCAATGTACCCTTAACGTGTCCCGTTTAGTCCCATAAAAGAACTATCGCCAGCCACCTGATCACCAATGATCGTCGAGTGAGCTCGATTTGGCGTCGGTGTCGTAAATCGCGATCCTTATACGTAAACAAGAGTGCGATGTACAAGAGTCAAGTATACCTTCACTTCTCGCTTTTACAAAATTGCACCCGACGAGTTAAAAGAGCGCAAAATATACTAGTTATGATGCGATCGTGCAAGAAATATCCCGTCCCCATTAATCGGTAGTTATGTTACTTGATTTGTTGTTACTTGTCGCACACTTGATTGCACGCATGTCACTTGTTAATGCATTTACTAGTTGCCACTTTGAATACGAGTTAATAATGATCGTAGCGATTTTAGTTTGATGCATTACATTCCTATTCTCCTTGACGAGTTTTTTTCGTCCGTTAGCTCCTAGGTGTTTAAATGTTGCATCCAACTATAGCACAACGCTTATAAACTTCCTCAATTTGATTTTGTAATACAATTCAAAAAAGACAAATTTAGGTTAAGTTTATTTTAAATCGAGTTTATAAACAAAATACACATTTTCAAACGCTAAAGGTGCGTTCACACAAGCGTAATAAAATGGCGAACTATTCGACAAACTGACCAACTGTTCACCGAAAAACCAAATCGTACGTGTGTTCGCGTGATTCCCGTACAACAATAAATAATTACTATATAAATAAAAATAATGGTTAGTATTTTATTAACGTGTGTTCATAAAAATGTTCGTAGGTACGTCCATACATGTCGTAACATCATTCATGTTACGTTGACATTCCGACAAATAGTTCGATTGGTTCGATCAAACTGTACAAGTTCGCCGATTTCTTACACACGAATACATGTTCATTGTTTTGTTACACAGGTGCGAATGCGGCTTAAGAACTGTTTATCGTATTAGTATTATCGAAAAATTATGAACTTTGTTTCACGGCCAAAATTCTCATACTTTTACCTAACCATCCAGAGTGGTTTTTGCCCGAGAAAAATAGATTTTACAAACAAATGTAAAATGTAAAATGCTGTTAAGGTTCTCCGCTATTAAGGATAGAGAAAAAAATCCGTTGATTATCGAGTATCATTATTTTTTCGGTCATGATTTTTTGACGTGAAACATTTGTTTGCGCACCTTGGAAGTAAAACGTAAGCGTGACAGCATTATTTTATCCATGACTATACGTTTATTTAGTCATGCTTTTAACTTTGGGCACGATGCCCTTACGCCTATTCTCCGTCGTTGACGTTGCCCGGTAACGCCCGGTTATGCGACCAGTGTTGCCAGACTTTGGAATTGTAAAGATCGTATAGTCTAATAAGAAATTTCGTATTTTTCGTTCTAACACCGTACAAATATATTTTTTTCTCGCAGTCTCATTTCATATTCTGTAATTTGTATAATGTAGTTTATACTTGAGTAGTACAGTACATCATATAGTAAAATACTAATACTATACAAATTTACTATACTTTAAAATACTATACACTGTACATTACTTCTAGTAGACTCTACGCATCCTTACCAAAATCTGGACGAATCGCGAAAGTTTTACCCCCGCTGTTTCGTCACCGTCAAAAAAATGAGTCTACGGACTCACGTTTATTATTAATATAGGACATTTGGCCCTCGGGAGTTATATAGATTAATTTATACCTACCCAAAGGACATTTGACCTCCGGTTAGGTTAGGTTATGTTCTAAATTAATTAACTCAAAAAAATTATGTAAGTAAACTAACAAGTAAACAGTACTTACTAATTCTAGATTATGGATTGTTGGTAAGTACAATTTGTAGTTAAGTTTTTGAATTAATAAAATATGTTACCCAAAACTGACTTCAATTATTGATAGTCGAAAAAACATAATAAATCTAATTAAATATGCACTTTATTTTGCAATTGCTTTACAATAATTAAAATTCCAACATTTATGTTAATAGTTTGAAAATTTCATTGTTAGTACAAATTAATCAGACAAATTTCATAATTCTTTAAGTTCCTAACCAGATTTGCATTTGAGGATACCTACCCATTTATTCAAATACTAATGAAAGGTATTCCATACTAACTTTAGTTATTATTTAATATTTTATTAGTACAGAATACAGGTATTTATTTTTATACATATGTTGTGTTTAGTACTTACACTAGTCATCATATAATCTTAACTAAAGATTTTTATAAGAAACTGAAAAAATATTTTTATATATTAGATAAATTCTTATCATTTTGAGAAAGTTATAAGTTATTTTAAATGATTTATGTTATTATTTTTTACATAATATAGTATAGGTAGGAATTTTCTGATAAATTTTTTGACATTTACCTTACTATAATGTAGATTGAAGGTACAAACATAGTATTCTGCTGGTATTGTTTATTATGAAAACTTAACTTAAAAAGTTATTATTATAATAAATAAAAATATTTCTGTAAAAACATTAAACGGAAAATACCTAGTGATCTGGGTTATAATATCTTATAAGTCCAGCCTGGCACACTAAAGGTCCCTGGGGACATTTTTTTAAAGGATCTTTTATCTAAATATTAAGGTCCTTATAATTATTTTATAAAAAAATTCTGGTAATCCAAGCTTGATAGGGTCTTTTGAACTTGTTCTGAGCCGGTACTCTGTTCTTTGAAATCCTCTTTCACTATGACTAAAAAGTTAGAGAGTGCAATTAAAATTCATTATACGATACCAGAAAATGTTTATATGTATATATATATATATATATATATATATATATATATATATATATATAATAAAAAGCAGTGGCGTATTTAGAAACTTGTTTTGGGGGAGGAGGTCATACCTAATAGTGAAATAATTTTATAAATTAGTATATGATGTTCTTTATCAACTTATTGTTTAAATACTAAATAATAATAATTAATAATTAAATTAAACGTATAATTGTTTTAATCGTAATTTATATTACTTTAAGTTGCGCATAGATGCAAAGTGCATACTGACAACTGACAAGACGTGATAGTCGCGGACTAAGATATTGATATTCTTATCGACCTATAATTTACCCACATCAGATTATTTATATACCATGTGTGTGTGTGTGTGAGTGCCGTACGGTCGATTTTTGTTATTATTATCCGATAACAATTTAATTATTAGCAATATTAATATTTTTTTTATATATATATATATATTTTCGTTATACTTTAATATTTTATTGAATAAACAAACTAAAATTATTATATTACTGAAATGTTTAAAATTTGACGTTTTCAGATATTTTTGGAAGGGGGAACTCCCCCATAAATACGCCACTGATTAAAAGGGAAACGGCCCTGGACAGTAAAGCTTTAGAGAAATAACGTTACTCAGAACCATCAACATTTATGTTCTAGTTTAATTTTACATCATAATAATATTTAAAATACTTTTGAATCTTCTCGTCCTGTTATTTAAATTAATTATATTTGGATACTTAAGCGTGTTCATAACACCATTAAATATGCCAAATTAACCCTTATTTCGTATAAAGCATTGTTATAACTAGTTCAACATGAGTACTCTATACGATTTATGAAGTATACGAAATAATTTTATAACAAGTATTTCAAATGTAGCGCTAAAAAAATAATTAATTTAGATAATAGCTAATTAATTTTAGTGTCTTTGACGAAATAAATACAAAAATAATTGAGAATTATCGTGCCCAAATATAAGGTTTGTAGTATAGTACGATGGTTTTTTGGCGGGTGGCATTTTGTCGGATTATGAAGATGGTGTATTGTCGAATGGTTAGGTTAGGTTAACTTTTAATGCTGGATATACTATACATAGGACTATCTCCTGGTTTTATACAAAATATTAGAAAAGTATAAAGCCAAAAGTAATAACAAAAGATAACATTTTTATTACTCTCATATTTCTCCATACCTCTAAGTTCAAAGTACCATATTTTAATCTTTATTAAACGATAAGGACAATTAATTAATTGTAAGATACAGCAATATTCAATTATGAAACTAAAATGAAATTGGTAAATTAAGGTTTACTACAGTTGGTAGAGCAAAATTGGTAGCTATCTATATTTGGCAGGTAGCTTATTTTATTTTATAATATAAAATTATATTATAATACAATACTATCATTAATACTGGTCCCTATTCAAAGGGTATTTAATGATGTCCAAGATTCTGCAAAAGGAACAACATTGAAATGTTTATAATATTAGTGTTATGGCCAAATAGTTCGTAAAATCTAATAATAATCAAATTTTGTATTTTAAATACTGTGCAAGATGATTTTGAAGCAAATTTAGGGAAAAGATGATTTTTGTAATTGGAAATGACTAAATCCATGTTGATGGGACTTAAGGTTTAAACTTTAAACAGCTAGGTACGCTTTTATAACAAAATTACAAAATATTAAACCTAATTATAACATTTTTATTATATTTTTGCTTGAAGTATTCGGAATGAATTGTGTATATTTAAATTTTAAATTACGATATTAGGTTTTTTTTTTCAAATTGTGTTTTATTAAATTTATTTAACTATTAACGTATTTAACTATTTTAATTTAAATTTAGCAATATATAAAACCATTATAATAAAAATGATATTATCATTTTATTAATGTTTTAACATTTTGATAGCTGCAAAAAGGGGACTAAATGTAGACAAAAACGGTCACAAAAATGTTTTCCTGTGAAGATCCATTCGTTGGAATTTTGTCTTTATCACGTGGCTTATGTCAAGTGGCTGTTTGTCAGATGACTTTATTTCGTGCTTCAATTTTTACTATAGACGAATGAAGATTTATCTTTATATATTTATGATTTTATGAACTTAAGAGATCAGTGTACGAACACAAAAAAAATAAACATTCGTTTTTAATTTTAGAAATTTTTAATATTTGTACAATTTATTTATTATTACAATATTATTAATTCTATGAAATAAAAAAATGCTGTTCAATATAAATTAGTAGTTCATTTAATTGAACTCTAATATAGAATCCTATAATTGGACATAGTAAATTGTAAATTGTGTTATCAATTATTATTGATAGAAAAAATATATATAATATCCACCAGGTTGTATGGTAACGAATACAATCAAGGTTAGTAGTGTATATTTCAGGTAATAAATTATTTTATTGTATGACTTTCGAGCATAGCTAGGAAAATTTTTTATTCGTAGGTACAAACATTTTCTACAATATGAACGAATACGAACATTTAGCGATAGTTATCCGAATTTTTTCATATTTTAATCTGGCTGCACTGGTTGGTTATCAATATGTATTTGTTCTATAATAAAATGTATTCTATTCAGTTTTTTCCCAAGTAAGCTGTACTGAAAGTATGTTCATATGTAACCTTTATGATAATTTAAGATTTTACCATGGCAGAAGAATTGATTCGTCAAGTGTATAGTTTAAATAAAATAAATGTATTATGGCCCTCCGGAAATATAGCCCAGTGTCGTTATTTAAATTTTTTTTTAATACGTATGGCGTATAAAACAGGCCACTAAGCCTATCTGGAATTTTCGACACAACAAAAATAAAATAATAATATTTTTATCATTTATTAATGACAATATAATAAGAATAATGGTATTAATTAAATAATTTAACTAAGAAAAGCAGTAAAGCCAAAGGTGATGATAAATATTGTAATAAAGCGTTTATTAGGTACAGTTACAATTATATAGTTATATTTTTTATTAATATTAAAGAGGATACCGACGCATCTTTATTCTTGCAAACTTATTTACAGATAAAATATCAACACAAAATATTATTTAGGTAATGTTTTAATATTTTCAATTATCAATAATATATTATAATTATGAAATAAGAACTACTGATAATGGATAGCAGCTGATGGTTAGGTTAGAGGTGGGTCGTTACTGCTGTATTCGGTACAAAGTAACGATTACATTGGTGGAACGAGTAGGAACGAGTACAGCTGATCGTTCCTCAAACGTTACGTCGGTACAAAGTTACGCACACGCTCACTAGAGGAGGGGGTGGAAACCTCTTACACCCCCTCCCGTAAATACGCCACTGATTGTTCCAATCGTTACATTAGTACATTTTTAAATTTGTATTATTAATTATTGTAAAATTATTTTATTTAAAAATAAAATACTGAAGGTAGTAAGTTGTATAGTATACCATGGATTACAATAACACATTTTAATAACTGTAAAAGTGTAAAGTAATTTATTATTTTAATATGAATACTAATAACAATTAACAAGCATTGATTTTAAAGTTTAAAATAATAATAATAGTAATAATGAACAATTTTACTTATTTTAATAATTACTATTTAAAAACATTAATATTTCAATGTTTTTTTAACGATAACCTGCTACGTCTTTCTGAAATAGTATATCCGGCTTTTGAAAAGATTCCTTCACACGGAACAGAACTCGACGGCACACACAACCGTAATAACATCATCTCAAACAAATTTGGATAGATATTTCTTCTATTATTCCACCACTTAAGTGGATCTGATTTTCTGTCGAGTAACGGCTCACTTATATATCGGTCGATCTCCACTGTAACGATTGTTACATATTATTAATGTCTACTCATGTAATATGGATATTGCTGAGTAGACATCACGTTAATTTACATGTTATTACATTAAGTCGCGGTAGTTCTGCCACAACGTTCGTCCGAGGTAGCTGAACTCCATAGTCCGTAAGTCTAATTTATATATGTATATTAAATAATAACTAAATCTAAACCAATCTACATTTATTTGTAATATCAAGATCTTTCCTCTTATGCATCCCGTGCTACGGTACAATATATTCATAAGGATTAGAAAACCTTCCCTGAATATCATATATTTAACTGGTCATCCCCGACCACGTTACATATTGGTGGAGGCGCCGTAACCATAAGAATTACAAATATTTGGGATTGGTTTAGATTTTTTACCACGTTACACCACAATAGCTTCAGATTTTGGTGTACTTAATGTTGGTGTTGATACCTACATACAATTACAATATGATTTAAGTTACAAACACTTATAAATATATTAAATATATAAATTTAGTATACGATATACCTGTGCATTAAAGTGTTTCCAAATTTCAGATGTTTCATTTTCTATTGCATTATTGTTCAATGGTGTATTTATATTATGTTCGTCATTATTTTTATTCCTTTTAATTATTGCCGCAATTTTTTCTACGATTTGATCGTACGTACGCTGGTATATAATATGGTTATCAAATGCTTTTTTTTTTAAACGCGGATCTAATAAAGTTGCCTCAGTTAATACTCGTTGATTTTCAATACCTTCAAACTTTTTATCGGCTCTCGTTAGCATTTTAGAAAGCATCAAATGAATTGTATGTGGTAGTTGAATGTTCTGTATATTATTTTTAATGTGAGAGTGTAACATTTGAGTTATAATTAAGACTTTAGAAATTGAAACGCCTTTTTCAGAACTAAGTTCAACAGTGGCTTCTTTAAAGGGCTTAAATATTTCACAATAGTGTTGCATTATTTCAAAATCTTCGTTAGTCAAATTGTCTACGTTACCTATTATAGCAATTGTGGAAATGAGTGGTTCTTTAATTAGTATACACCTTTGAAACATGTCAAAAGTT